GCGACAGCGGCAGCATGGAATGATAACCCAGTTTCCCCCTTCTTCCTTTTCTTTATATTGCATTGCGGTGCGATGGGGTGGTGGGGTGAGGGTGAGGTGGGCGGCTGGCAACGGCGGGTCACTGGCCGCGGCAATGTGTTATTGCCGGTCATTGCAGTCCTGCCAAAGCAAATGTCCGGCTGACCGGCGGCGCCGCGCGCTCGCGCACGCCCCTGGCCCCTACTCCTCGACGAGCCCTTGGCGCCGTCGTGCTCGTGCCGTGCTCGGGGCGTAAAATGTTGAGCAGTCCTCGTGGCGTGTGCCCCCCGCTGTCCCCCGGTGGGGCCCCCCGCCACCACTTGAGGTATTTTATTGCAGGAGATAAGTCCGCCTGGCCCTGCACGAGGGGAGGGGGGGGGGCATTGCTTCCGAGGGAGCAGGGCAGCAGCAGGGCCCCCTTACACCTCACTGGCGATGACTCGTCGGCGCGGCGCTGCCGCCGAGTGGCGCTGGTGCGCTGGTGCACCGCCCCGCCCCGCCCCCGCCCCGCCTGCAGTGGGGCGCGGCGGTGATGTGTCGGACGATAACCCCCATTGTGGGGCGGGGCGGCGGCGGGGGCAGGGAACGCCCTGTTACCCTAGCCGACAGAGGCCTGCTGCAGGGAGGCCCCGTTACCGGGGGTGGACGTGTCAGCTGACCGACTTGGCCTTGGGCCCCGATAAGGGCGAGCGAATAAGAAAGAGCAAGGAATTCGACTCGAAGGGAAGAGTGACAGCAAAGCATGCTATGTGCAGTACATTGGCGTGTAAGTCTCGGTGTCCGACCCGACCTCTCCTGCCGTGAAACAACCTAAAGAACCTTCTCTCCTCCTCGTCGTGTACCCCGTCCCGCGCCGTGCGCTGCCGACGCCGCCGCCACGACCTACCCCAGCCGACTGCACCCCACCTGCCACGCCCTTTCCCAGCCGCACTCGGTGTAGTCTGGCCTCGGGGCTCGTAGAGGGGGACCCGCGTGGCAACAGCAAGGGGAGAGACGAGCGGTGTAGTGGAGCGAAAAGGCGAAGGGCGGGGTCCAGGACACTGAGGAATACGGTGTCACTGGTTGCTCCTGAGCACGAAACCCAAACTGTTACAAAAGGCATCGATGATCGATGACCTTCCGGTATCTGCACCCGCTGCCCGAGGGCCGCAGGGTCCTGGCTAGTTACACATTATTGCAACCGTGCGGGGCACATAATTGGTCGAAATTAAGAGCGGCGAAAGGGAGGTTAGGGAAGGAGTGGGTGGAGCGGGGCGGGGACGGGACCGGGGGGTGAGACACGCTGTTCCGCGGTGACTGCAATAATGCGGCATGTTATTACTGCAGGCCGGAGGCGGGCAGGCAGCTCGCGGGGCTGACTGCAGGCGCGCACGCTAATGGGGAAGGCCGGGCAGAGGCCGGGGAGGTACGGGACAGGACTGTTTTAGTCCTCTCTGCCCGATCAGCGGGGGGGCGGGCGCGCACGCGTCGCGTGTCCTTGCGGGATGATTTACGCGTCCTTATCTCGTTGCGGTCGGTTTGTATGCGGGGGCAGCGAGCAGCCTCCTGCGCCGCGCGTGTCTTGAAATCAATGGCAGCCAGGGCAGCAGCAGCAGGCGGTGTGGCGCTGACGTCGTCGGTGGTGTGGGTCCTGCCCGGGGAGGTCTTTAGTACACATGTGGAAGGACCCGACCTCGAGGACCCCGGGCCCTGGTGCGTCCTCTATTGAGCCACCTCGTGCGTGCCTTTGGCGAGGACGTTTGTGTGTGTGTGGAGGGGGCCAGGGGGGTGGGGAGAAGGGTGGAGAAGGGGAGCGAGTGGTTCGGGCTTCCCTAGGCCAAGCGTGCGCGACTCGCTCACTCACTGCCGCAACATGACGCTCGCACCCCGGGCGTGCGTGGCCTCTCACTGGGGATGTGCGGTGTACTGCCGTTACCCCTCCCTCCCCCTTCACCCTCATCCCCTCTCCATCTTCCTTCCTCTGCCCCACCCATCCCAGTGGTGACCTCATATATGTAATGAGAATTTCACGACGTTATCAAAGTTTACGCATCTTTTGCCAAGTATACGCCTTTTACACTTTACTCCCAGACTGCCCCGCTGAATGTTTGAAGACCTCGATGCTTCATTCATAATACCGGTCTCTTCAAGGACGCAGTTTGGCTGAACCATTTGGTAATCCGTTCTAGAGAAAAAACAAACTAGGCCTCAATGCGACGACGGTAGACTACCCGACTTATTTTCTTTATGTTGCTACGCGCGTGCTACACTGTCAGCGACACTGACACTACTGAACTGTTGAACTTTGTTAGTCTCCTTTTCATTTGGGTCTTGGACCGTTTGGTCAGGGACACGAAATAGCTCACATATTTGTTGAGAACGGCCCTTTCGGTGTCGTTGTTGTTGGCCATTTCATTTGTTTCTTTGGTGCGCGATGGAGTCTTTCCATTCAGCATGCTCTCTTTCCTTCCACGACTGACGGCCAGCTCCACCGCTCCGCGTGACGTTGTTGGGAGAGGGTTGGCCCGGAGGGGCCGGAGGGGCGACCTTCGCTTCCACAACCCTCCGCGACCTTCGCCCTCTTCCACCTGCTGCTCCGTGCGCCGGAGCTGGCGCGGCTCCCGCTGACATTGTTCATCCCCCGAACAGGAATACAGTAATTTCCTTGGGCGGCGTTGGCGCTGCAGGGCGCGGAAGGGCGCGGCGTGGGCGCGCTGTTAGCGCCACGGCTGATCCTGACGTCGTCGCCCGCCCCCCGCTGTCCGCCCCGCTGTCCGCCCCTGCTGCCTGCCCCTGCTGCCCGCCCCTGCTGCCCGCCCCTGCTACCCGCCCCCGTGCCCGCCCCCGAGCGTCCAGCCAGCCAGCAGCCTGGCTAGGCTACGCCCTGGCACCGCCCGGCACCGAGCGGGCCGATGTGACACGCGGTCGCGCGAGCGGATGGGGCGCTGGCGGGGCGATGTGCGATGCCATGTGTCGCCATGAGGTGCCAATTAATTCGTTTGGCACTTCGTGAACACAGCACAACACGAGACGAGGTGCGCGGCGCGGCCCTGCGGCCGGGGATATAAGGAAGCGATACATACGTGCTCGCCAAACGCTAACCCCCC